ACAGAGACAGAGAGACAGAGAGAGGCAGAGAGAGAGAGAGGTCGATTTCACAAATCAACTCCTTTTTTCTACTTTACCAAACACTGGAAAACGGAAATGATGTGAACACGATTCCTTGTTTCAGGAAAATAACAAAGCCCAGTGGGGAGAACACCACAGAGACAACGAATACTGTAACCAAATGGCACACAATGTGTGCTGCAATCTGAAGCGTCAGCCAGGACGGGAGGTTGCATGTCCATTCTGTCTGGGGACAGCAGGAAGGGCTTCAAAGAGGAGGCCAGCTGTGGAATGAGGGGTAGGTTTCACCAGACGGACACGTCCGGGCAGGGTGATACGGCACATGGGGGCTATGGAAGGACAGGATGATGGTACCACATTTGGATAAAGGTCATCGCCACCCACCCCCCAGACACGGCCATAGGGAAAAGTGGAAGAATTAGAGAAGGGAAGTTATTGACCACACTTGAGTTTTGGGGTCTAGTGGCTCTTCCTTGGGTATCTGCATTGAATACCTGCTGGACTCCTGTGAATGCACAGTTGGCATTAGAAGACAGACTCAGACTCCAGGGAAATATTTGCTGGACTAATCAGCAGAGAGGTGGTCAGTGCTACTTTGTGAATAGCCTTTATGTTCTCGGTGTATTTTCTCCTTTTCTCATCTACCACAACTATGTCAAACTAAAAGGCAGGCAGTGTTAGTTCTTGGAGCTGCACTTGTTTAAGTCTTTTAGTTTGATCACATAATTCTGTTTCTAGAAGTGAATGGCAGACAATAGTATTCAGACTAACCCTCCCATTACATACCACTGAGCATACTGGATTGGATTTATTTTAGTCTTGGTAGAAGTGTGTACGGACCCCAGTCTGCTCTGGGTGGCCCTTTGTTTCCTCAGGATCAGCCATTTCTGGAAACATGGACAAAATCCCTGACCATAACATACAAACTTTGTTCCATGCATTTTGTCGTGATTTCTTCCTGAATTTACATCAGCTTCGGCTTCCTTCTCCCACACATTCTGTGCCAGGTGGACGCACACGGATACTGCTGCACTGAGCTGCAGAGGTGGGCAAGAGACAGCGGCCCCTGAGTAGGATTTGAACTTGGAAGTGTGGTCTGATGGGCACTCCAAACCTTCACAGCTACCAATGTTCTCTAACAAGTGTTAACAAATATGGAACACACCAAACTTTGGGAGTGGGATGGATCTAAATCACTTTGCATTGACTCTTCCAGTCATGTTCACAGATACTTCTGGATCAGTTGTTCCTGGAGCCAGCTGCTGGGTCAGGGGCTTCTGGGCAGTGGGGACACAGCCCCAAAGCTCCCTGCTCCCCGTGTGCGGGTCATACTGCACAGGTGATGGGCTGGGGCGAGACACTCTGTCCAATGAGAGAGGGAGATTAAACAGAAGACAGTAAGAGACAGAGCCTTGATTTTCTTTGTCCCCTGGGGCATAAGTAGCAGGGGCCCAGAGTGCCTCCTGTCAGTAATGTACAAAACAAAGCATGTGGACCACACTGGATGTTAAAATTTGCACTGTAAAACTTGTAATGTGCACTCAAGATTTGCACAGTCTTGCCCTGGCTGGTGTGGGTCAGTGAAATGAGCACTGGCCTGAGATCCACAGGGTCATGGGTTCAAATCCCAGCCAGGGCACATGTCTGGGTTGTGGGTCAGGTCCCTACTTGGGGGTACAAAAGAGTTCACCACACATTGATGTTTCTCTTCCTCCTTTACTCTTTCTCTAAAAATAAATAAGTAAAAAGTTAAGCAAAATGGTTTGTGCAGTCTCTTGTATGTGTTTTAACCATTGGCTTATACCTGATACCGAAAGAACTCTTTAGCTGCAAAGTTTTATAATAGGCCCAGTCCTACAACCGAGCTGTAAGAGTTGTAGGAAATGAAAATCCAAATGTTAAAGTATCAGTAAATGTTCCCATAATATTTTTTGAGAAATTGTCACATGTATTATTAACTAGGAAGAACATTTTATAGAAAAATATCATCAAAGAAGGCTAATATTTTTAGATACAAGAAACATAATTTCTGAATTTAAAATAATACCGGAAGTAATGAGTAGCCAATAAGGCAACTCAGAGGGCCAACTTGTGACGTGTGTACTAACTGCAGCAATATCCCAGGGTTCTGAGGAAACAGAAAACGACGTGAGAGGAACGTGCCATCCCAGCAGCTTTATTCATGGTGACCTCATGCTGGAAAACACTCAAGTGCCCATCAACAATGCAATAGATCACTAGTGTCATATGTATGCAACAGAATAAAAGAGAGCAGAAGTTTAACCATCATTTGCACAATCATGGGTGGGTGAATCTCACAAACAGTGTTGAAGGAGAGGAGCCGACACGCTGTAGGAGGTGAGACAAGCGTGAGCTGTCTCACAGGCACCAGTGGAGTCAGAGCTGAGTGCAGGGCTCAGCCCCCGATCACCAATGCTGTGGCTGCCCCAGCCCTTTAGCTCTTGTTGTGACTCCTAGCCCCCCTGGGCAACACTGCCAGGACACTTTGAAAAGACACAGCTTCATTCCCCGGCACACCTGAGGTCAGGGAGCAAGGCTGCAGGTAAGAGAGCTGCAGGAGCCTGGAACCTGCTCTTTGGGGGTAGTCAGTGGGGGCCTAGTGTTTCCTGGGCCCACTCTTTGTTGCTGAACTGAAAAGTTAAAAGCATGAATTTAAAGGCAGGAGGAAAAACCAAGTGACTCAAGGTGGTCAGTTACTGAAATCAACCCAAGGGCTCTGGAACACAGGAGCCTGGGCCAAGGTTGGCACCCAGAGCCCACTGCCTGGCTCTATGTCTGGTCCCTGTTCCTGGCCTGGCCCTGTGATCCCACAGGGCCGTCTTTGAAGTGGACGCCTCAGCAATCAGAGAATAACCCCGGCGTTTGCAATTGGGAAAGAGAAAAGCTCTCCCTACTTACCACTTCTTACTTTGAGGCTATGATACAGAAGTTACCATAAAACCACTTACCACACAAACATACACTCCTTCTCTTATGTGAGTTTACAAAACTCGTTTAATTCGTTTCAGTGCTCTAGGTCTCAGTGTATCACTATACAGTTAGGAGTGGACTCAGAACATTTCCAAGGCCCCTTCCCCCACTGTCTGTCTGGTTCTCCAATAGGGAGAAAGCACAGTGCACCCTGCCTCATTGGGACAGATCCCCACCAGGGGGCAGAAGAGAGCACCCAGAAGATCTGGAAACACCCTCCCAGGTTCATCCATCCTGGGGGTGGAGAAAGGAAGAATGAAGGGCTGGCCACACCTCTCTTGAGACCTGTGTGGTGTGGGGCCATCACCCAAGGATGCTGCTGCTTCTGCTGCTTCTGCTGCTTCTGGGGCCCAGTAAGAACCTGATTATCTGAGTGTCTTGGGTGGGTGTGCGTGGGTGCTGGCGTGAGTGAGGGGGTGGCCAGGGCTGGTGGATTTTCTATGCTGATTGCAAGGAGAGGGGTCAAGTGAGAGGTCACCAGTCAGGGCAGATGGTTGCTTCTGATCCCAGGAAGTCTGATGAGAAGATCTCACCCACAAACGGGACTCTGGGGGCTGGAGGAACAGGGGAGGGGGCAAGGGCGAGGCCCTGAGTTTCCTGACTGCTCAGCTGGGACTGTCCTGCTGGCCTCCTTCAGGGCTCTGACCACTTTTTCTTGCAGGCTCCGGGCTCGGTGCTGTCGTCTCTCAGAGTCCAAGCAGGGTCGTCTGTGCACGTGGGACCCGTGTGACCATCGAGTGCCGTGCAGAGGGCGTTCAGGCCTTCACTGTGTTGTGGTATCAGCAGTTCCCGAATCAGGGCCTCGTCCTGATGGCGACTTCCAATGTGGGCTCGCCCGCCACACACGAGCAAGGTTTCCCCCAGGACAGCTTTCGCATCAGCCACCCAAACCAGTCTTTCTCGGATTTGACAGTGACGAGTGCGCGCCCTGAGCACAGTGGCCTCTACTTCTGTGCTGCCAGTGACACAGCGCGGGGCGGAGATGCGAGGCCCAGGCAGGAACCTCTGCCCAGCTCCCCTGCACCCAGCCCCTGGGAGCCCTGTGGGAGGGGCTGTGGGGGGAGGGAAACCACAGCTCCTCTGAGGGAGCCATCTGTGTGTGGGGAGAGAGGGGAGAGCATATAAACCTATAAACCGAGGTCTGTGCAACTCCAGGGATGTGCTTCTTGTACATAATAAAAAGTGGCAAACTCACCACCCACCTCTACCCCATAAAACAAAACTTACTGAAGCATTTACACTTGCCTAGAAAACTGCAAAAATAATATCATTAAACTGGGTATATTGTAGGCATCCCAACAGCATGTCAATGAAGAAAAGGAACACAAAATGTATGGGATAGAGAAAAACAACCCTTTCCAGAGTCCCCCCCCAAAAAAAACAATCTTGTGTCAAAAGTAAAACTTAAGTCTACACTTCAAACAAATATATTGAAGTGAGCAGTTTAAGATAACCACCCTAAACAAGAAGCTGAAAAAATATGAACATAAAGGGCAAAAGCAGGGAGAGAAAACCTTTTTGTTTGAACTCTACATAGAAATGAAACACAGGACACACTTACCTAAGAAATGAAGAATATATTAAAAGAAACCCATGGAACACTCAGATGGAAATTTAGTTCAGGCCCTGAAGAAAAGCAGGGAAATATATGAGACTAAAAATTGCAACAGTAAAACCAGCCAGGGAGAAGGTTCTGGAATGAAACCAGCCTGGCGTGAACGCAGGACGGATTTGAGCAGAGCGGTATCCATGCAGTGATGGCACTAAAGATGCATGCTACGCTCTCACGTGACCCACTTGTCTACAGGCTGCTGTCCTGAGCAAACCCCACCTTCACTAGGAAGGGAACAGTCAGCGGGCCAATCACAGTGAGGCTCTGCTGGGAGCCAGCCACTCAGATCAGAGGGAGGCACAAGGGGGTGATGGGGTTCAGGGAGTCCAGGTCTCCTCCACTCTGTCTCCCCATCTGCACAGTTAGGGCGCTCGAATTCAATACCTCCAGGGTCTCTTCCCACTGTCTCTCTAGCCTTCTGCACATTCTGCACACACAGGCAGGTGGTCCCCAGAGCTGAGTGTGTTTCCTCATTTGTCTTCCTGCAAGTGCCTGTAGCTACCAGGGGCCCCTTCCCACTATGGGCAGCCAGGTGCTCTGCTGTGTGGTTCTTTGTCTCCTGGGAGCAGGTGAGTCCTGGGTTCAGGGACCAAATTCCTCTCCTGAGGGTGCCACACTCCAGGTATAACTAAGCCTTTTCTCCTCACAGCAATAGGAGTACCCTCCTGGGCTGTGTTTCGAGAACCTTCCTCTTTCTTCCATAGGCACATTGGGTGGTGGAATCACTCAGACCCCAAAATACCTGTCCAGAGGGGAAGGACAAGTTGTGACCCTGCACTGTGAACAGGACTTAGGCCATAACGCCATGTACTGGTACCGACAGGACCCCGGGCAGGGGTTGAGGCTGATCTACTTCTCCCCAGCTGAAAAAATTGTTGAGAATGGAGACCTGGCTGGAGGCTACCAGACCTCTCGGGAGAAGAAGGCATTCTTTCCTCTCACCGTGACATCTGCCCGGAAGAACCAGACAGCTGTGTACCTCTGTGCCAGCAGCTTAGACACAGTGGGGCACAGCCACCTCCTGTCTGTGCATAAATGGGTCCCCAGGGCCGCTTGCTCACCAGGTGGCAGGGCTTCGCTGTGCTCAGTACCCGGCCCTGCCCGCCTTCTTCCACCTCAGCCCACCACCCACAGCCGCTAGGCTGTCGCCATGCCGTGTGGAATGGAATATTATTTCAGATTTCCAGTCCTTATCTATCTATCTATGCATGTATCTATCTATCTGTGTATGTGTCTATGTATGCTAAAATGAACATACATTAGAAAATGCTAGTCTCAGTTTCCTTCCTTTCTATCAGTGCAACCATTTATGTATGTACCTATCTATCTTATAGACAGGTAGAGAAAGAGGGGTTGATTTTACATGTCAACTTTTGTTTCTACTTTATCAAACACTGGAAGACAGAAAAGAACAGAAAATGCTTCCTTTTTTCAGGAATGTGGTAAAGCCCAGTGGGGAGAAAATCACGGAGAAGACAAATACTGTAACCAAATGGCATGTAATATGCCTGTCAATCAGAGGTGTGAGCCGGGCCAATTCAGTCTGGTGACACCAGGAAGGGCTTCAGAGAGGAGGCCACCTGTGAGAGGAAACCCACATGATGAGTAGGTCTCATCAGACGGACAAGGCCATGCGGAGTGATACAGGCCTTGGGGGCTATGGCAGGGGAGAGTGATGGTATCACATTGGGATAAAGGTGATCGCCACCACCCCAAGACAAGGCCATAGGGGAAATTTGGATGAATTAGAGCTAAGTTACTCCTCACACCTGAGTGTTCAGTTCCAGTGGTTCCTCCTTGGGTATGTGCATACAGTACGTGCTCGACTCCTCCTGTGAATGCACGGTTGGCACTTAGAGGAGATACTCGGGCTCCACGGAAATCTTTGCAGGATGATCAGCAGAGGGGTGGTCGGTGTTACTTTGCAAATAGTCTTCATGTTCTCAGTGTATTTTCTCCTTTTCTCGTCTGCCCCAAGTATGTCAAACTAAAAGGCAGGCAATGTTAATTTTTCGAATTGCATTTGTGTATGTACTTTTGTTTGATCACATAATTCTGTTTGTAGAAGTGAATGGCAGACTGTACTATTCAGACTAATCCCCCACCATTACATACAACTGAGCACACTGGATTGGATGTATTTTAAAGTCTTTGTGGAAGTGTTTACAGACCCCCGTCTGCTCTGCGTGGCCTTGTGTTTCCTCGGGATCGGCAACTTCTGGTCCCTGACCATAACCTACAAAGCTTGCTCCACATATTTTTATCGTGATTTCTTCCTGAATTTACGTCAGCTTCAGCTTTCTTCTCCCACACATTCTGTGCCAGATGGACGCACACGGATACTGCTGCACTGAGCTGCAGAGGTGGGGAAGGGACAGCGGCCCCTGAGTAGAATTTGAACTTGGAAGTGTGGTCTGATGGGCACTCTAAGCCATCACAGCCACCAATGTTCTCTAACAATTGTTAACAAACAAGGGAGCAAACCAAAACATTGGGAGTGGGATGGATCTAAATCACTTTACGTTGACTCTTCCAGTCATGTTCGCAGATACTTCCAGATCAGTGGTTTCGGGAGCCAGCTGCTGGGTCAGGGACTTGTGGGCAGTGGGGACACAGCCCCAAAGCTCCCTGCTCCCCGTGTGCGGGTCATACTCCACAGGTGATGGGCTGGGGCGAGGCACTCTGTCCAATGAGAGAAGGAGATTAAGCAGAAGACAGTAAGACACAGAGTCTTGATTATCTTTGTCCCCTGGGGCACAAGTGCAGGAGTCCGGAGTCCCTCCTGTCAGGAAAGAACTCTACAGAACAAAGCATGTGGACTTTATTTGATTTTAAAATTTGCACTCGTAATGTGTACTCAAGATTCATATGGTCTCTTCTATGTAAATTTAACTGTTTGCTTTCCTCTGATTCTGAAAAGAACTCTTTCTCTGTGAAGTGTCCTCATAGCCCCCATTCCCATGACCAAGGGAATTGTAGGAAATGAAACTCAAAAACTTTGGGATATCAATAAATGTTTCAAGAACAGTTTTGGAGAAGCCTTCACATCTAATATTAACCAGGAAGGTCAATTTATAGAAAAATATAATCAAAGAAGGATAATATTTATTAAGTATAAGAAACATAATTACTAAATTTAAAATAATACAGGAAGTAATTAGTAGTAAATAGGGCAACCCAGAAAGCAGACTTCTGACCTGTGTACTAACTGAAGCAATATCCCAGAATTCCCAGGAAATAGAGAAGGACATGAGAGGAACGTGCCATTCCAGCAGCTTTATCCACGGTGACCTCACACTGGAAAACACTCAAGTGCCCATCAACAATGCAGTAGATCATTAGTGCCATATGCATGCAACAGAATAAAAGAGAGCAAATGTGTAAACATCATTTGCACAATCATGGGTGGGTGAATCTCACAAACAGTGTTGAAGGAGAGGAGCCGACACGCTGTAGGAGGTGAGACAAGCGTGAGCTGTCTCACAGGCACCAGTGGAGTCAGAGCTGAGTGCAGGGCTCAGCCCCCGATCGCCAATGCTGTGGCTGCCCCAGCCCTTTAGCTCTTGTTGTGACTCCTAGCCCCCCTGGGCAACACCGTCAGGACACTTTGAAAAGACACAGGTTCATTACCCAGCACACCTGAGGTCACAGAGCAAGGCTGCAGGTAAGAGAGCCGCAAGGGCCTGGGATCTGGTCTTTGGGGTAGTCAGTGGGGGCCTAGTGTTTCCTGGGCCCACTCTATGGTTCTATTTAAAACCTAAAAGCCTGAATTGAAAGGATGACGAGAAAAACCAAGTGAACGAAATCAGCCAGTTCCTGAAATTAACTCAGGAGCTCTAGAACAAAGGAGCCTGGGGGGAGGGGGCGCTGGAACAGAGAGCCCACTGCCTGGCTCTATGTCTGGTCCCTGTGCCTGGCCTGGCCCTGTCATCCCACACGGTCGTCTTTGAAGTGACACCTCAGCAATCAGAGTATAACCCAGGAGTAGCATAGAAAAGAAAAGCAAAGAAAAGAGAAAAGAAAAGAAAAGAAAAGAAAAGAAAAGAAAAGAAAAGAAAAGAAAAGAAAAGAAAAGAAAAGAAAGAAAAAACTCTCATGAATTAACAGTACTTACTGAGTCTAGGACACAGAAGGTGTGACTGTAATGCCATTCACTACACAAACACATAGTCCTTTCCTGATGTGAGTCTCAAAATCTCCTTTAAGTCCCTTCAGTGCTCTAGGTCTAAGTGTATCATCTATAAACTCAGGAGTAGAATCAGACCTGACCAAGGCCCCTTCAGCAGCCTGTGTATCCTTCTCTGGGAGGGAGGAAAAGCCCTGGGCCCGCAGCATTGGGACAGATGGCCACCAGGGGGCGGAAGAGAGCACCATCCTTGGGATTCAGCAGCAGCTACCTTCCCCCAGCCCCACCCTTGAATCCATCCTGGGTGTGAAGAAAGGAAGAAGGAGGAGCTGGTCATACCTCTCTAGAGACCTGGAGCTGTGAGGCCAACACCCGAAGATGCAGTTGCTCCTGCTGCTCCTGCTGCTTCTGGGGCCCAGTACGAGCTTTATTACCTGAGTGGCTTGGGCGAGTGTGTGTGCATGTTGGAATGACGATGGGGTGACCTTGGCTGGTGCATTTCTGTGCTGATCCTAATGACAGGTGTCAAGTGAGAGGTCACCAGTCAGGGCAGATGGGCGCTTCTGATCCCAGGGCCTCCGACAAGAAGATTTCACACAGCAAACAGGAGTCTGAGGGCTGGAGGGAAAGGGGCGGGGGTATGGGGCAAAGCCCCTGGTTTCCTGCCTGTGGTCAGCTGGGACTGGTCCCGCTGGCCTCCCTCATGGCTCTGACTCTGTCCCTGCAGGCTCCGGGCTGGGTGGTGTCGTCTCTCAGAGTCCAAGCAGGGTCATCTGTGCACGTGGGACCCGTGTGACGATCGAGTGCCGTGCAGTGGACTTTCAGACCACAACTATGATTTGGTATCAGCATTTCCCGAATCAGGGCCTCGTCCTGATGGCGACTTCCAATATGGGCTCTCCTGCCACACACGAGCCAGGTTTCCCTCAGGAGAGCTTTCCCATCAGCCACCCAAGTCTGACTTTCTCATCTCTGACGGTGACGAGTGCGCGCCCTGAGCACAGCGGCCTCTACTTCTGTGCTGCCAGTGACACAGCGCGGGGCGGAGATGGGAGGCCCAGGCAGGAACCTCTGCCCCTCTCCCCTGCACCCAGCCCGGGGAGCCCTGTGGGAGGGGGTGTGGGGGGAGGGAAACCACAGCTCCTCTGAGGGAGCCACCTGTGTGTGGGGAGAGAGGAGAGAGGGGAGAGAGAGAATGACAATATAAAGTTATAAATCAAGGTCTGTGTTTCTCAAAGGTTGTGCTTGTATGCGAGCCTGTGCATCCCCTTATCCTTCTGGAATTATCCTGGTTTGTGGCCTGGTGGCTGAGCTGCTATAGGACACCCAAGAAGTGGAGAAAATGGAGTTGGAGAAACCTGTGGGAAATTTTGGAGACAGGTCTGGCCCCCAAATTTTGTTCACTAGAAACATATCATCTCAACTTTTTGTTATCTCTTTGAATAAGTCTTTAAATCTCATCACTGAACAGATACTGGTTACCTAGAAAATAGTATTTCTTCTCCTTTGCTTTGATGGAACTATTTCAGAAAATTAAAAGTCAGAGACATGCAAAACCATTTCAGTTGCCTAGTACCGAGGACGCCTCCCCTCACCAGGACAGGTATAAACCACGCTGCTCTGTTGAGTTTCCTGCCTCTTGACTTTCTGAAATAGTTGCACCACTGGGGTCCCTCCTCTCCCTGCCCTGCAGGAGCAGGGGAAGCAGAGAAACTGCCTGCAAACAGAGAGGTCTGAGGAGGGTTGGAGAGATCCCAGGGGAAGTGCCCCACCCCCTTCCCATTCCCATAGAGTCAGACCTGAGCAGGACTGGAGGGAGAGGGTCAAAGTGCACTCCTTTAAAGGGCCAGACACGAAATGTAAAGAGATGGTCCCCTGAATACTCAGCTTCAGGGGCATTGGGTGGGGGGAGAAAGTTAAAGGATAGGAAGAAAGCTCGTCGGGCTACTGGAGAGGGAAGGAGAAAAAGAACAAATAGGGGAAATTTTAGAGTCCCGGAAAAGAGATGACAATTATGAAATAAGAGGAATCATATGACCCTCCCCCCCACACACAAAAATAATTCCAGAAGCATTTGGACTTTGCTAGGACAACGGGATTGAGCTGTGTATTGTAAATATTATGAACATGAACAATAGGAATCTAAAATCTATAGGACAGAGAAAAGAAAATCATCTACAACTATCTCCCCATAAAAAACATCATGTGTCAAAAGGAAACCTTAAGTCTACACCTCGAACAAATATATTCAAATGAGCAGTTGAAGATAACCACCCTAAACCAGAGTTCAAAAATTATTAATAGAAATGACAGAAAGAGAGAGAAAGAAAAAAAATTTGATAGAACTCAGAAAACAAATGGAAGCAAAAGTGAAACTTCTCTAAGAAATGAAGAATGCATTAATAGATACACATGGAACACTCAGATGGAAATCTACTTCAGGCCCTGAAGAAAAGCAGGGAAACATCTAAGACACTAAAAATGTCCACAGTAAAACCATCCAGGGAGAATGTTCTGGAATGAAACAGGGCCCTGGCGTGAATGCAGAACGGATTTGAGCAGAGCGGTATCCATGCAGTGATGGCACTAAAGATGCATGCTACCTTCTCAGGTGACCCACTCGTCCACAGGCTGCTGTCCTGAGCAAACCCCACCTTCACTAGGAAGGGAACAGCCAGCGGGCCAATCACAGTGAGGCTCTGCTGGGAGCCAGCCACTCAGGCCAGAGGGAGGCACAAGGGGATGATGGAGTGCAGGGAGTCCAGGTCTCCTCTACTCTGTCTCCCCATCTGCAAAGTTAGGGAGCCCAAACTGAATACCTCCAAGGTCTCTTCCCACTGTCTCTCTAGCCTTCTGCACGTTCTGCACACACAGGCAGGGGGTCCCCACAGCTAAGTCTCTTGTCTCATTTGTCGTCCTGCAAGTGCCTGTAGCTTTCAGGGGCCCCTTCCCACTATGGGCAGCCAGGTGCTCTGTTGCATGGTCCTTTGTCTCCTGGGAGCAGGTGAGTCCTGGGTTCAGGGAGCAAATTCCTGTCCAGAGGGTGCCACACTCCAGGTATAACTAAGCCTTTTCCCATAACAGCAGTAGGGGCACTCTCCTGGGCTGTGTTTCGAGAACCCTCCTCTTTCTTCCATAGGCACATTGGGTGGTAGAATCACACAGACCCCAAAATACCTGTCCAGAGAGGAAGGACGAGATGCGACCCTACACTGTGAACAGGACTTAGGCCATAACGCCATGTACTGGTACCGACAGGAGCCCGGGCAGGGGCTGAGGCTGATCTACTTCTCCAGAGGTGAAACCAGTGTTGAGGAGGGAGACCTGGCTGAAGGCTACCAGGCCTCTCGAGATAAGACGGCATTCTTCCCTCTCACCATGCCATCCGCCCGGAAGGACCAGACAGCTGTGTACCTCTGTGCCAGCAGCTTAGACACAGTGGGGCACAGCCACCTCCTGTCTGTGCATAAATGGGTCCCCAGGGCTGCTTGCTCACCAGGTGGCAGGGCTTCGCTGTGCTCAGTACCCGGCCCTGCCCGCCTTCTTCCACCTCAGCCCACCACCCACAGCAGCTGCAGCCATCACCTTGCTTGTGGAATGAAATGTTATTTTGGACATGCACTCCCTAGCCCCCTTTATCCATCTATCTGTATGTGAGGGAAAGAAAGACAGACAGAGAGAGACAGAGATAAAGACGGAGAGAGACACGGTTGACTTTAAAAGTCAACATTTTATTTTCTCTTTTACCAAACAGTGGAAAAGAGAAGTGAGCTGAAAATGATTCTTTCCATGCGGGAAATAACAAAGCCCAGTGGGAGGAAATGTGGAGACGACAAATACTATACCCACGTGTCATGCAACGCGCCCTATGATCAGAGGCGTCAAGCAGGACAGGAAGTAGCACGTCCATTCTGTCTGGTGACACCAGGAAGGGCTTCAAAGAGGAGGCCACCTATGAGATGAAACTCAGATGTGGAGTAGGTTTCACTAGACAGACAAGCCTGGGCAGAGAGACATGGGCCTTGGGGGCTATGGCAGGCGGAGTGATGTATCACATTGGGATGAAGGTGATCGCCACCACCCCCAGGCATGGCCTGGGGGAAAGCTGGAAGAACACGTGGAGAGACAGTTTTGAACACAACTGAGTTTCTTGTTCTAGTGGCCCCTCCTTGAGGATGAGCATAAAAATACCTACTAGACTCCTTTAAATGTACACTTGGGACTTACAAGACAGAGTCAGGCTCCAGGAAAACATTTGCAGGACTAATCAGCAGAGAGGTGGTCAGTATTACTTTGCAAATAGTCTTTGTCCTCTCAGAGTATTTTCTCCTTTTCTGGTCTGCCTTTGTATATTGAATGAAAAGGCCGGCGGTGTTAGTTTTTGGAACTGCATTTGATTATACATTTTTGTTTGATCCTATTATTCTGTTTCTAGAAATGAATGGCAGGCTGTAGTATTCAGACTAACCCCCCCCCCTTAATGCAACAAAACATACTGGATTGCATATATTTTAAAACGTTCTTCTAAGTATTTACAGACCCTACACACTCTGCGCAGACTTGTGTTTCCTTAGGATCAGCAACCTATAGAAACATGTAGCAAATCCCTGACCATAACCTACAAAGCTTGCTCTACACATATTTTTATCACGATTTCTTGCCAAATTCTGTGTCAGCCTCGGCTTTCTTCTCCCACACATTCTGCGCAGGGTGGACGCACACAGATACTGCTGCACTGAGCTGCAGAGGTGGGAAAGAGACAGCAGCCCTTGAGTAGGATTTGAACTGGGAAGTGTGGTCTGATGGGCACTCTAAGCCGTCACAGCCACCGATGTTCTCTAACAAGTGTTAACAAACAAGGGAACAAACCATAACGTTGGGAGAGGGATGGATCTAAATCACTTTGCATTGACGCTTCCAGTCACATGCACAGACACTTGCAGATCAGTGGTTTCTGGAGCCAGCTGCTGGGTCAGGGACTTCTTTGGCACTGGGGACACAGCCCCAAAGCTCCCTGCTCCCCGTGTGCGGGTCACACTCCACAGGTGCTGGGCTGGGGGGAGACACTCTGTCCAATGAGAGAAGGAGATTAAGCAGAAGACAGTAAGAGACAGACAGCAAGAGACAGACAGCCTTATAGTTCTTGGACATAACTAGAAGGGGTCCAGAGTCCCTCTTGTCACTAAAAAAATCTACAAAAGAAAGCCTATGACCTTTCTGCATTTTAAATTTCCACTGTAAAACAGCTACACATGCAGTTCAGGTTTGCATAGCCTATTATAAGTATTTTAACCGCTTGCTTTTCCCTGATACTGAAAAGACGCCTTCAGCTACGCAGGCAACTTCCTCACAGCCCCATGCCATGAGCACGCTGTAACAGAGCTGTTGCAGGAAATGAATCCAAAGGGTTGAAATATCACTAAGGTTTGCAGAACAAGTTTTAGGAAAGTGTCATATCTATTATTAACTAGGACAAAAAATGCATAAAAAATATCATCAAAGGAGGATAATATTTATTAGGTACAAGAAACATAATTTCTGAACTTAAACTAATGATGGAAGGCATTAGTAGCCAATAAGGCAACCCAGAAAGCAGACTTGTGACCCGTGTACCAACTGAAGCAATATCCCAGAATTCCCAGGAAACAGAAAAGGACGTGAGAGGAATGTTCTGTCCCAGCAGTTTTATCCCCGGTGACCTCACACTGGAAAACACTCAAATGCCCATCAACAATGCAGCAGATCACTAGTGACATATGTATGCAAAAGAATAAAAGAGAGCAAATGTGTAAACATCATTTGCACAATCATGGGTGATGAATCTCACAAACAGTGTTGAAGGAGAGGAGCTGACACAAGGTAGGAGGTGAGACAAGCGTGAGCTGTCTCACAGGCACCAGGGGAGTCAGAGCTGAGTGCAGGGCTCAGCCCCCGATCACCAGTGCTGTGGCTGCCCCAGCCCTTTAGCTCTTGTTGTGACCCCTAGCCTCCCTGGGCAACACCGTCAGGACACTTTGAAAAGACACAGGTTTGTGGCTGACAAGTCCTGGAAATTACCCAGCACACCTGAGTCACACAGCAAGGCTGCAGGTAGAGAGAGTTTGCAGGGCCCTGGGGTTCTGCTTTTCAGGATGGACAGTGGGGCCTAGTGTTTCCTGGACTCAGTCTTTATTGTTGAATGTGAAGCATCAAAGCAGGAATGTAAAGGAAGGAGGAGAAATACCAAGGATCGCAAAGTGATCAGTCACTGAAATCAGCCCAAGAGCCCTAGAACTCAGGAGCCTGGGGTGGGGCAGCTGGAACTGAGAGCCTGCTGCCTGGGTCTCTACCTGGTCCCTGGGACTGGCCTGGCCCTGTGATCCCACAAGGCCATCTTTGAAGTGGACGCCTCAGTAATCACAGCATGACTCAGGCATTTGCACCACAAAAACAAAAACAAAAACAAAAACAAAAACAAAACTGTTGGGACTTTACACCACTTACTCTGAGGCCATTGTGACCTGGAAGAAGTGACCTTAATGCCATTTACTACACAAACACACTCCTTTCCTCACAAAAGTCTAACAACTCCTTTAAGTCCCTCCGAAATCTGAAAAGCCGACCTTCGGGCTGCCTGTCCCCTACCGAACCCAATCACATACACAGAGACTGGTTTTCTGGGCGCTTTTTTCAGAAGGCTGGCAATCTGAGAAGACAGCAGATTCGTAAGACCCTTATGGACCATCTTACATGTCCTTCCCAGTCAGCGTTTTGATAAAAGAGATGAAAATGAGAGGAGGGTTTTTGAGATTCAGGGAAAATTAAAGCAAGAACTGCAGCATTCTAACCCCGGGCAGGCGGGCGGGCGGTCCTCTGTCTCTCCTGGAGGCTGGGATGTCCCCAGCTGTGCCCCAGGTGGTGGTCTCCAGCTGAGCCCCGGGGGTCCCTGTCTCTCCTGGGAGTGGTGAGCCCTCCATACCTGCAGTTGCTGAGACAATAGCTTTATCATATGTGTTACCTACTAGGCTTATTAATTGTTTACCTTTAAACTAAACATTTTCCAACTCTTGAGTTCCCTATCACCTTCAATGTTCTAAGTCTCAGTGTATCACTGTATAGTTAGGAGTGGACTCAGAACATTTCCAAGGCCCCTTCCCCCACTGTCTGTCTGGTTCTCTAATAGGGAGAAAGAGCAGTGCACCCTGCCTCATTGGGACAGATGCCCACCAGGGGGCAGAAGAGAGCACCCAGAGGATCTGGAAACACCCTCCAGGGTTCACCCATCCTGAGGGTGGAGAAAGGAAGAATGAAGGGCTGGTGATGCCCCTCTTGAGACCTGTGTGGTGTGAGGCCGTCACCCAAGGATGCTGCTGCTTCTGCTGCTTCTGCTGCTTCTGGGGCCCAGTAAGAGCTGTAGTGTCTGAGTGTCTTGGGCGAGTGTGCGTGGGTGCTGGTGTGAGTAAGGGGGTGGCCAGGGCGGGTGGATTTTCTGTGCTGATGGCAAGGAGAGTGGTTAAGTGAGAGGTCACCAGTCAGGGCAGGTGGGTGCTTCTCATCCCAGGGAGTCTGATGAGAAGATCTCACCCACAAAGGGGACACTGGGGGCTGGAGGAAAAGGGGAGGGGGCAGGGGTGAGGCCCTGGTTTCCTGACTATGGTCAGCTGGGACGGTCCTGCTGGCCTCCTTCAGGGCTCTGACCTCTTTTTCTTGCAGGCTCTGGGCTCAGTGCTGTCGTCTCTCAGCGTCCAAGCAGGGTCGTCTGTGCACGTGGGACCCGTGTGACGATCGAGTGCCATGCAGAGGGCGTTCAGGCCTTGGTTGTGTTTTGGTATCAGCAGTTCCCGAATCAGGGCCTCGTCCTGATGGCGACTTCCAATGTGGGCTCTCCCGCCACACACGAGCCAGGTTTCCCCCAGGACAGCTTTCGCATCAGCCACCCAAACCAGTCTTTCTCGGATTTGACGGTGCCAAGTGTGAGCCCTGAGCACAGCCGCCTCTACTTCTGTGCTGCCAGTGACACAGCGCGGGGCGGAGATGGGAGGCCCAGGCAGGAACCTCTGCCCAGCTCCCCTGCACCCAGCCCCTGGGAGCCCTGTGGGAGGGGCTGTGGGGGGAGGGAAACCACAGCTCCTCTGAGGGAGCCAACTGTGTGTGGGGAGAGAGAGGAGAGAGAATATAAACCTGTAAACCGAGGTCTGTGCAACTCCAGGGATGTGCTTCTTATACATGATAAAAAGTGGCAATCTCACCACCCACCTCTACCCCATAAAACACAACTTACTGAGGCATTGACACTTGCCTAGAAAATTGGAGAATGATCCCATCAAACTGTGCATATTGTAGGCATCCCAACAGCATGACAATGAAGAAAAGGAACACAAAATCCATGGGATAGAGAAAAACAACCCTTTCCAGTGTCCCCCTCCCCATAAAAAACAATCTTGTGTCAAAAGTAAAACTTAAGTCTACACTTCAAACAAATATATTGAAGTGAGCAGTTGAAGATAACCACCCTAAACAAGAAGCTGAAAAATTATGAACATAAAGGGCAAAAGCAGGGAGAGAAAACCTTTTTGATTGAACTCTGCATAGAAATGAAACAGAGGACACACTTATCTAAGAAACGAAGAATATATTAAAAGAAACCCATGGAACACTCAGATGGAACTCTACTTCAGGCACTGAAGAAAAGCAGGGAAAGAATTAAGAGACTAAAAATGTCAACAGTAAAACCAGCGAGGGAGAAGGTTCTGGAAAAAACAGAGCCATGGCGTGAACGCAGGATGGATTGGAGCAGAGCGGTATCCCTAAAGTGATGGGAGTAAACATGCATGCTACGCTCTCATGTGACCCACTTGTCTACAGACTGCTGTCCTGAGCAAACCCCACCTTCACTAGGATGGGAACAGTCAGCGGGCCCATCACAGTGAGGCTCTGCTGGGAGCCAGCCACTCAGGCCAGAGGGAGGCACAAGGGGATGGGGTGCAGGGAGTCCAGGTCTCCTCCACTCTCTCTCCTCATCTAGAAAGCTAGGGAGCCCAACTTTAATACCTCCAGGGTCTCTTCCAACTGTCTCCCTAGCCTTCTGCACATTCTGCACACAGAAGCAGGGGATCCCGACAGCTGAGTGTTTTTCCTCATTTGTTGTCCTGCAAGTGCCTGTAGCTACCAGAGGGCCCCCTTCCCACTATGGGCAGCCAGGTGCTCTGCTGTGTGGTCCTTTGTCTCCTGGGAGCAGGTGAGTCCTGGGTTCAGGGAGCAAATTCCTGTCCAGAAGGTGCCACACTCCAGGTATAACTAAGCCTTTTCCCGTAACAGCAGTAGGGGCACTCTCCTGGGCTGTGTTTTGAGAACCTTCCTCTTTCTTCCACAGGCACATTGGGTGGTAGAATCATGCAGACCCCAAAATACCTGTCCAGAGAGGAAGGACGAGATGCGACCCTGCACTGTGAACAGGACTTAGGCCATGACGCCATGTACTGGTACCGACAGGACCCCGGGCAGGGGCTGAGGCTGATCTACTTCTCCAGAGGTGAAACCAGTGTTGAGGAGGGAGACCTGGCTGAAGGCTACCAGGCCTCTCGAGATAAGACGGCATTCTTTCCTCTCACCGTGCCATCGACCAGGAAGAACCAGACAGCTGTGTACCTCTGTGCCAGCAGCTTAGACACAGTGGGGCACAGCCACCTCCTGTGTGTGCATAAATGGGTCCCCAGGGCTGCTTGCTCACCAGGTGGCAGGGCTTCGTAGTGCTCATAACCTGGCCCTGCCCGCCTTCTTCCACCTCAGCCCACCACCCACAGCAGCTGCTGCTATAACTATGTCATGTAGAACGGCACAGTGCTTCAGCCATCCACTCCATATCTACCTATTTATTTATCTGTCTGTTTGAGAGAGACAGAGACAGAGAGACAGAGAGAGGCAGAGAGAGAAAGGGGGATTTCACAAATCAACTCTTTTTTTCTACTTTACCAAACACTGGAAAACAGAAATGATGTGAAAAGGATTCCTTGTTTCAGGAAAATAACAAAGCCCAGTGGGGAGAACACCACAGAGACAACGAATATTGTAACCAAATGGCACGCAATGTGTGCTGCAATCCGAAGCGTCAGGCAGGACCAGAAGTAGCACGTCCATTCTGTCTGGGGACAGCAGGAAGGGCTTCAAAGAGGAGGCCAGCTGTGGGATGAGGGGTAGGTTTCACCGGACACGTCCGGCAGAGTGATATGGCACATGGGAGCTATAGAAGGACAGGATGATGGTATCACTTTTGGATACAGGTCATCGCCACCTCGCCCCCCAGAAACTGCCATAGGGGAAAGTGGAAGAATTAGAGAAGGGAAGTTATTGATCACACTTCAGTTTTGGGGTCTAGTGGCTCTTCCTTGGGTATCTGCATTGAATACCTGCTGGACTCCTGTGAATGCACAGTTGGCAATTAGAAGACAGACTCAGACTCCAGGGAAATATTTGCTGGACTAATCAGCAGAGAGGTGGTCAGTATTCCTGTGCAAATAGTCTTTATGTTCTCGGTGTATTTTCTCCTTTTGTTATCTACCACAAGTATGTCAAACTAAAAGACAGGCAGTGTTAGTTCTTGGAACTGCATTTGTTTAAGTCTTTTAGTTTGATCACATAATTCTGTTTCTAGAAACAAATGGCAGGCAATAGTATTCAGACTAACCCTCCCATTACATACCACTGAGCATACTGGATTGGATTTATTTTAGTCTTGATAGCAGTGTTTACAGACCCCCGTTTGCTCTGGGTGGCCTTGTGTTTCCTTGGGATCAGCCATTTCTGGAAACATGGTCAAAATCCCTGACCATAACATACAAACTTTGTTCCATGCATTTTATCGTGATTTCTTCCTGAATTTACGTCAGCTTCGGCTTTCTTCTCCCACATTCTGTGCCAGGTGGACGCACACGGATAGTGCTGCACTGAGCTGCGGAGGTGGGCAAGAGACAGCGGCCCCTGAGTAGGATTTGAACTGGGAAGTGTGGTGTGATGGGCCCTCCAAACCTTCAAAGCTACCAATGTTCTCTAACAAATGTTAACAAATAAGGGAACTCACCAAACGTTGAGAGTGGGATGGATCTAAATCACTTTGCATTGACTTTTCCAGTCATGTTCACAGATACTTCTGGATCAGTTGTTCCTGCAGCCAGCTGCTGGGTCAGGGGCTTCTGGGCAGTGGGGACACAGCCCCAAAGCTCCGTGCTCCCTGTGTGCGGGTCATACTGCACAGGTGATGGGCTGGGGCAAGGCTGTCCGTCCAATGAGAGAAGGAGATTAAGCAGAAGACAGTAAGAAACAGAGCCTTGATTTTCTTTGTCCCCTGGGGCATAAGTAGCAGGGGCCCAGAGTGCCTCCTGTCAGTAATCTACAAAACAAAGCATGTGGACCACACTGGATGTTAAAATTTGCACTGTAAAACTCGTAATGTGCACTCAAGATTTGCACAGTCTTGCCCTGGCTGGTGTGGGTCAGTGAAGTGAGCACTGGCCTGAGATCCAAAGGGTCATGGGTTCAAATCCCAGCCAGGGCACATGTCTGGGTGGTGGGTCAGGTCCCCAGTGTGGGGTGCAAAAGAGTTCACCACACATGGATGTTTCTCGTCCTCCTTTACTCTTTCTCTAAAAATAAATAAGTAAAAAGTTAAGCAAAATGGTTTGTGCAGTCTCTTGTATGTGTTTTAGCCATTTGCTTATCCCTGCTACTGAAAGAACTCTTTAGCTGTAAAGTTTTATAATAGGCCCCATTCCTACAACCGAGCTGTAAGAGTTGTAGGAAATGAAAATCCAAATGTTAAAGTATCAGTAAATGTTCCCATAATATTTTTTGAGAAGTTGTCACATCTATTATTAACTAGGAAGAACATTTTATAGAAAAATGTCCTCAAAGAAGGCTAATATTTTTACATACAAGAAACATAATTTCTGAATTTAAACTAATAATGGAAGTCATTAGTAGCCAATAAGGCAACTCAGAAAGCCAACTTGTGACCCGTGTACCAACGGAAGCAATATCCCAGAATTCCCAGGAAATAGAGAAGGACGTGAGAGGAACCTGCGATTCCAGCAGGTTTTTCCACAGTGACCTCACACTGGAAAACACTCAAGTGCCCATCAACAATGCAGTAGATCACTAGTGCCATATGCATGCAACAGAATAAAAGGAAGCAAATGTGTAAACATCATTTGCACAACATGGGTGGGTGAATCTCACAAACAGTGTGGAAGGAGAGGAGCCGACACGCTGTAGGAGGTGAGACAAGCGTGAGCTGTCTCACAGGCACCAGTGGAGTCAGAGCTGAGTGCAGGGCTCAGCCCCCGATCACCAATGCTGTGGCTGCCCCAGCCCTTTAGCTCTTGTTGTGACCCCTAGACTCCCTGGGCAACACCGTCAGGACACTTTGAAAAGACACAGGTTCATTACCCAGCACACCTGAGGTCACAGAGCAAGGCTGCAGGTAAGAGAGCTGCAGGGGCCTGGGACCTGCTCTTTGGGGGTAGACAGTGGGGGCCTAGTGTTTCCTGGACCCACTCTTTGTGGCTGAATTTAAAAGTTAAAAGCATGAATTTAAAGGCAGGAGGAAAAACCAAGTGGCTCAAGGTGGTCAGTTACTGAAATCGACCCAAGGGCTCTGGAACACAGGAGTTGGGGTGGAGTTGGAACCCAGAGCCCGCTGCCTGGCTCTATGTCTGGTCCCTGTGCCTGGCCTGGCCCTGTGATCCCACAGGGCCCTCTTTGAATCACACCTCAGCAATCACAGTATAACCCAGGCGTTTTCAATTGGGGAAAAGAAAAGCTCTCCCTACTTACCACTACTTACTTTGAGGCTATGATACAGGAGAAGGGACCATAACACCACTTACCACACAAACATACACTCCTTTCCTTATGTGAGTCTACAAAACTCGTTTAATTCCTTTCAGTGCTCTAGGTCTCAGTGTATCACTATACAGTTAGGAGTAGAATCAGAACATTTCCAAGGCCCCTTCCCCCACTGTCTGTCTGGTTCTCCAATAGGGAGAAAGAGCAGTGCACCCTGCCTCATTGGGACAGATCCCCACCAGGGGGCAGAAGAGAGCACCCAGAGCATCTGGAAACACCCTCCCAGGTTCATCCATCCTGGGGGTGGAGAAAGGAAGAATGAAGGGCTGGTCACACCCCTCTTGAGACCTGTGTGGTGTGGGGCCATCACCCAAGGATGCTGCTGCTTCTGCTGCTTCTGGGGCCCAGTAAGAACCTGATTATCTGAGTGTCTTGGATGGGTGTGCGTGGGTGCTGGCATGAGTGAGGGGGTGGCCAGGGCTGGTGGATTTTCTATGCTGATGGCAAGGAGAGGGGTCAAGTGAGAGGTCACCAGTCAGGGCAGGTGGGTGCTTCTCATCCCAGGGAGTCCGACAAGAAGATCTCACCCACAAACGGGACTCTGGGGGTTGGAGGAACAGGGGAGGGGCAGGGGCGAGGCCCTGAGTTTCCTGCCTGTGGTCAGCTGGGACGGTCCTGCTGGCCTCCTTCAGGGCTCTGACCTCTTTTTCTTGCAGGCTCCGGGCTCGGTGCTGGCGTCTCTCAGAGTCCAAGCAGGGTCGTCTGTGCACGTGGGACCCGTGTGACGATCGAGTGCCGTGCAGAGGGCATTCAGGCCACAACTGTGTTTTGGTATCAGCAGTTCCCGAATCAGGGCCTCGTCCTGATGGCGACTTCCAATGTGGGCTCGCCCGCCACACACGAGCAAGGTTTCCCCCAGGACAGCTTTCGCATCAGCCACCCAAACCAGTCTTTCTCGGATTTGACGGTGCCGAGTGCGCGCCCTGAGCACAGCGGCCTCTACTTCTGTGCTGCCCGTGACACAGCGCGGGGCGGAGATGCGAGGCCCAGGCAGGAACCTCTGCCCCTCTCCCCTGCACCCAGCCCGGGGGACCCTGTGGGAGGGGGTGTGGTGGATGGAGGGAAACCACAGCTCCTCTGAGGGAGCCACCTGTGTGTGGGGAGAGAGGGAAGAGAGGAGAGGGCAAAAAGTGAGAGAAAAAGAGAAAAATGAGGAGAGCATCTGAACAGCACCTGGAACTAGGGCTACAAAGTGGCCAACAGACATGAACAGATTCTTAGGCGGAAATGTATTCAACTTGGATTTTTTTCTGACTCTGCCCTGTATTAATTCTATGTTCTTGGATAGATTTGCACATGATCGCCTAGGCAGATCTCGAAATGCTTCTATAAAACACTGTGTGTTTTCTATACCGTTGACATTTGGCTCTCTGAGACATTCGGCACCATCCTGCCCCCGTCCAAGGCCCTGGAGGTACCGTCGTAAGACAGCCAAGCACAGACAGTTCTCCTGGACAAATTTCATGATGTGGCAAATACGGTGTTTTTAGTGAAGGTGTTGGTTGAGCTGGCTCTCGAGAAAGATGTGGAAGGGAGAGAAGGCAGGCGGAGCATGTAAGAAAGACATCAGACAACGCGGCTTGCCTACAGAACTAGAAAGTTCTCTCAGAAACCAGAAGGTCCTAAGTGAGGCAGTGAGTATCAGCCCCTCCCAAAAATCCTTTCCTAGGGAACACAGAAAAATTACATTGACCCCACATCTTGTAGGACCCAGTAAAAAGATAAGTAAAAGAAAGTGACATACATTTAAGAGAGGAAACACCCCTGACCAGTGAACAGTTGAGGAGATCATTAACTTCACGGGGGAAGTCAGCCAAATGTGAGCTAAGACACAATGACATCTTCGTTTACATGCACTTGAGTAACGAAATAGAAAGAGCTTGAAAATGCAAACTGTTCAGGATTCCTGGTAGGAGCAGACGTGGTATTTGGAAACAGTTAGGCGTTATCTCATATAGCTGATCACTCCTATGTCCCATGACCCAGGAATTCCACTACGTCAGAAGGGCACTCATGCAATGGAAAACTACACGTGTCAGTCAAAATGAGCGGACGCCGGTGATGAGCAATGTTATAGGTGAGCCTTACCCATATAATATAAAATAGCAGGGCAAAAACTGACCCTGGTAAGATTATGTAAAGCATGAGGCACTTTCGATAAAGCTAAAAACAACAAAGTCCAGAAAATAATTTTCACCACTACAAATACATTCGATAAAATTACATGGAAAGGAAAACAAGAAACAGATGTTGCTGAAACTGGCTTTTTACCAGCTCGTGGTTGCTGATGGTACGCATCTCTCCCGACCCCGATTTCAGCAACATCATGTTGGTAGCTTGAAATCACCCAGCCACGGCGGTAGTATTTACGCCACGGTAATCAGCAGACACAACAGAACAGGACTTGCTGTATTTCCTCCAGAGAGCTGGCTGTCACACGGTTACCAACACACACTGGCAAGGAATGATGATGACGAAATGCAGGATGGTGTTTGATAAGGGACTTGCATGGGGAGTGGCAGGAGACAGGATGGAGAAATCACAAAGCTCGATCTAAAGATCGTCACAGCCTGCCTTGCATGTAGTGTTGGACTAGGTGTGGGGAGGTGATGCACAAGTACCTACAACATTTTAAATAAATAATAACTATGAGTCAATAATAGTGCCTGTGTGTTATGAACCAAGGATAAAGATTAATCAAACCATATACTAATGAGATTCAAAAGGAGAGAAAAAAAACATACCTGAAGGGAATAGATTTGTGGAAGATTGGGATGCAGAGATTGTGTACCTAGAACCAGGGGGAAGGCGCTTAGAACCACGCGTGAAAATGAAGGCGTTCCCAGCTGGCGTAGCTCAGTGGATTGAGCGCGGTCTGCGAACCAAAGTGTCTCAGGTTCGATTCCCAGTCAGGGTACGTGCCTGGGTTGCAGGCCATGACCCCCAGCAACCGCACATTGATGTTTCTCTCTCTCTCTCTCTCCCTCCCTTCCCTCTCTAAAAATAAATAAATAAAATATTAAAAAAAAAAAGAAAATGAAGGTGTGGACATAAGACTCTGCCCCACACCAAAGTCAAACTGAACGAATAAGATGGGAACCAATTCAGACACAGACACGCTGCCACGTTATATGATGACCATATTGCAGATAATCACTATATTGGTCCTGGTGATTAAACGCCCCACCTGGCTGTGGTCACCTCCTCCCAGACGGCTTTCATTGTCCCTGAACCCAGGGACCCATTTTAATTTTAAGATGCCCCTACTCTGCTGCCCCTACTCTCTTGGCATCTTCAGCCAAGACAAGAGAGCTAGTAAAATATTTAGATACTCCGCCACTTTCTTTGCCGATGGCAGGAAAAAGACAAGAGTATTTTAGGTTCTGGCATGAAGTGTGGCAGTGATAACACACCTATGTCAAGCAGTCACTTATTTCCCTCCTGTACATCAAGCTTAAGGCTATAGCATTCCTATGTCAGCGTGGGTGGGTGCTGTGTCCACCCTTGCCTTTTCTAATCCGACAGAGTGTCTGAGACACAGCCCGCCGTCCACACGTGTTATCTCAGGGGAGGGTGACAATCGGCACTGAATGTGATCCAGTCCAAATCTGTGTTCTGTCCTCCTTGGGCTAGGACCACCACAGAGAAGTGCTATATTTCCTCCAATTTTTTCATGACATAAGTGAGCAATTCTTTAGAAGTGGAGCTCTTTCTTTTTGTGCTCTGGATGTATATTCTACTCTCCAAGCTAGGTTGTATTTGAAACCAGGTTACCCTTTAAGATCCAGTGGTGGATGGAGGAAGAGATAGACTCTTATTTCTCTGTCTCTGTCTCTCTCTCTCTCTTCCCCCAACACACACACACACAGAGGCAACAGAGGCACATCCTAAAGCATGAGCTGGAGTTAATTAGGTGGCATGGCACAGAGTGGACCGATGGGCACGGTTGGAAGATCCGGTGCAAAATGTGTCAGGCAGGAAAGAGACTGGTACGCTCAATGAATGGGAAGGTGGAGTCACGTGGCAGGAGCAGCGCGTGAGGAAGGGGGTGAGTGTGGGTGAGGTGGGAGACAGGCAGGCAGACATCAGGCCATTCATGACCTCATCAATCGAAGTACATAATGTGGAATTTGACAAAAAAAAATTAATAGGAGCCATTGAGTTTTTTCATAGATTTTTTAAGAGCGGTTTTAGGTTCCCAGCAAAATTGAGTAGAAGATACAGAGAATTCCTATGTATACACCCCTTGCTCTGCCCCTAAGGTTTTGGACATTTGACTTCTGTAGTGACAAGATTAATGTGTGTGTGTGTGTGTGTGTGTGTGTGTGTGTACGCACATGCATGCATGCATGTTTTGTGATTGTCCTGGCTACCATGCAAAAAGTAAGGGGCAACATGGAGAGAGCTGCTGCAGAGAAAAGAACTGGCTCACACAGGTGCACAGGCAGGTGACAGAGTAGCTAGGAAGACAATGAGAAATGCAAAAGGTGGGTCAGAAGTAAAATCCAAGGACTTGGTCGTTGATAGGCAGCAGGGGCGAGCGGTAGGGAGGACTGGGGATGATGGCCACAGCTGGAGGGATTTGGGGGGCCACGTGGGAGGGAGATCGTGGCTTACTGGAGCCTGGGGGCGCCTCCGAGACAGGGTCTGCCTGGGAATACGCAGAAAGCAGTGGTTGCACAAGCCAGGGACTCCGAGAATGGATCGGGATGGGGGTAGACATCCGGGACATTTAGCGTAAGTGGAAAGATGAAAGCGCACAGGATCCCTGGATGCTGGAGTACACACGGAGAAGAGCAGAACCCTTCGGAGAGGGATTTAAGGGGTGCAGTCACCTTGAATGGTGCCTGGAAAAGGTGGAAGGAGCAAATCGTACTGATAAGCCATCAATCAATACTAGATTAATAACTGAATAATCGTGTGACTAATTACTAGTAACAACTGTGTGCATACACAGTTACCACGCCGAGGACTGCCTGTTTCCTAATTCTGCTCTGGCAGCGCAGGTACCTGACTGCCGCCGCACAGCGTGGGGCGGTCTACTCCCCATTCAGCAACTCAGGGAAGGCGAAGGCAGTGCGAGATCAGAGAGCAGCGGATGAACTTGCTCCTGTGACCACTAGGGGGTGATGTGGGTCTTTCTGTGAAACACCTCTGGAGCGCCAAGAGCAGGCGCAAACCTTCCTTCATCTGAGAAATTGTTAGACACGTCAGGTACCTCAGGTGAGATACAGTAGGCACTGGCTGGAGAATGATTTGCAGGTATCCTGGGATGCCAGTAGGTCCTTGAGATAGCAGGATCTGATCTTACACTGTAAACCCTCCCTCCCCCTGTAGAATTTACCATGTATCTATCTGTACCTGTAGCTATATGATGTGTTCAAAATCGGTAAATAAGTAAATCAATGCCACCACCCTTTCATTTCATCAATGTGCGGAACCTCCAGCCAGTGGGACGAGAAGTAAAGGGTGAGAGTACCCACAGGAATCTAAGGAAGCATTTCATTATTAATAACCAAATGTAATGCGTTTCCCAAATTTCACACAACTATGAGTCAGTTTTATTTCCATTTACTAGCAATCAACTGTCAAAAGATGTATTTTAAAGAGAGAGGCCATTTGTAGATAGTAGCATAAAATATAAAACATAAAAGCTAAGAGCAAATCTATTAGAAGGCAAGCAACACCTTAATGCAGAGAATTATTAAAATTTTAGAGGAAGACACTTTAAAAATCTGAAATAAGTGGAGATGTGTACCATGAATATGAATAAGTAAATCCCCCAGTGAAGGTATTCCAGTTTCTGAATATCATCTATGTATTCAATGCAGCACGAATCAAAGTCACAAAAGATACCTTTTTTAAATGAAATGTGACAAGAGTCATCTGAAAATTAAGTGAAAAAGAGGGACGAGACGAGGAAAGGAAATCCTGAAGAAGTACCAAGAGAGGCAACTTGCCCTGCTGACCATTAAATTATTTTATAATTCAGGAAAACAAGCAGGTGTCAGTGAAGAGACGACCGGAAAACAGCAGAAACGTCACAAATACGCCCACACGGATACCTGCCCACCAGTACAGGGAGTGGTGGAGCACACGGCAGGTTCTTCTGGGACAAGTGGTGATTCCCAGAGAGAAAGAGGAATTACTCCTCTCCTCAGAACAGAAGCAAAAATAAACTCTAAATGAGTTAAATGCTTGAGTGCAAAATTCTAAATGCTCACTGTTTGGGTCAATAACACGGGAGTATATCTTTATGAACTTGAGCGACGGGAGAATTTCTTAAAGAATTAAAAAGCGCGCCCCTCCCCCAAATGATAAGCTCTACCAAATTAAGAGATTCAACAACAATGACGACAAACCGTCCCGGAGAGGGCAAAGCACAAGGAGCAGCACACGTGACCAGGTGTGACACAGGTTTGGCATCCAGAAGCTGTCAGGAACTGTTACAAATGAATCATGGCTAATCAGCCCAAAAGAAATCTGGGCAAAGGGCGGTTTACAGGAAACACCGGTGTTTTACATATTAAAAATACGTTCGGCCTCCTTAGTTGTCAGAAAGATGCAGACTAAAACTGTGGCGAGAAATGGCTTTGACCTCATAGACTGGAAAAAATTAAAAATACATTAAACACCAACTGAGTCTTAAATGTGGAGCCTGTGAAACACTCACAAACCGTTGATGGCACTAGTTGTTTGGCTTGGTTAATTTGGAAAGCATTCTGTCCCATCATGCAAAGGTGACAATGTGACCCGGGGCAGTCCTTCCCTTCCCTGGGACAGGAAAACCCTGCATTTAGGCATGCAGAGAAATGCACAAAAATGCAGTCCTGTTTGTAGCAGCATAAACACCTAGGGAAAAAAACCAGCGTACACCCATTCAAGAGTGGGTGATAAATTCTAGTGAATGAATAGAGTGGAATGCTATACATTAGTAAAAATCAATTATCTAAAATTATATGCATCAACATTTTAATTTCACACAGCATTGAATGCAAAATGACCATGCCATAAAAAAAATCGAACAGAATGATTCCCCCTTAGACACATTTCAAAGACATACCACATTAAATAATATCTAGTTTACAGGCTTTTACATGAATGTTAAAGGCTATAATGAAAAACAAATGAATTAAAACATAAACTTCAGAGTTATGGTTACTCAGACAAGGTGATGAAAGAACAATGAAATCTTAAAAAATAATATAGAGGCTTAAAAATTCTCAGCGGTAATCTATCTCCTACATTGATCGGTTCAGGAAAGAGTATTCATTTTGTTGTTTCCCTAGATGCATTGCATATTTGTCATAAATATTGCTTTGCATATTCAACATTTAACTTTTTAATCCTCATCCGAGGATATGTGCATTGATTTTAGAGAAAGATAAAGGGAGAGAGAGAAAGAAATATCAATCGGTTGCCTCCTGCACCCTCCCCAGCCAGAGATCGAACCCACAACCTAGGTACGTGCCCTGACTGGGAATCAAACCCTCAACCTTTTGGTGTACAGGATGACGTTCCAACCAACTGAGCCACCGTACCAGGGCTCAACATTTAATTTTTTAATGTAAGAAGCTTCTACATGGTTTCACACATACAGTAAAGGCTGTGACTGATATACCCTAAGCTGTATCACTCATCGTCTGACATGGAAGGGAGGAGGGGGAAGGCAAATGCACAGGTTAAACAAGCAAAGAAATAAGTGATGTGTACGTGATTTTGTAACAAAAATGGTGAAAGAGCAGAGGCAGGGAAAACGAAGATAAAAGCAGCTTGAAACGCACACCAGTGAATTCACCCCAGCTCTGCTGGCCTCCCCCACTTCCTCTGAAATGTTTCAGTCTCCTGTACTTGGGGACTCTGTCCAAAGCGACCGTGTCACAAGGAGGTTGCTGCAAAGGGATGGCCACCTGCCACTGCTCTTTTCCTGAGCCAGCCATGTGCCTAAAACTTCTCTGCTGCGTGGCCCTCTGTGTCTGGGGAGCAGGTGGGTTCCTGCCGTGACCTCGGGGATTTGGGTGCCATGGTTTCCTCTGGGTCTGCAATGCTGGGCTGCCCCCCAGGCTTCTTCTCCACTTTCTGTCTCTCCCTCCACAGGCTCTGTGGACGACGAGGTCACCCAGAGTCCCAGACACCTGGTCAAAGGAAAAGAACAGAAAGCGAGGATGGAGTGTGTCCCCAGAAAAGGACATAGCTATGTTTACTGGTATCGTCGGAAGCTGGAAGGAGAGCTCACGTTTTTGGTTTACTTACAGAATGACCAAATCATTGACCGAGCAGAAGCGGTCAAGGAGCGATTTTCATTTCGATGTCTCAAAGACTCTCCCTGCAGCCTGGAAATCCAGCCCACTGGGCCAGGGGACTCGGCTCAGTTTTTCTGCGCCAGCAGCGAGTACACAGTGCTGCCGTGCCAGCTCGTCCCAGTGCACAAACGCGCCGTGCGCCCCGCTCAGGAAACCAGTGGTGCATGCAGTAGGCGGAAGGAGCGACCAGAAACCCAACTTGAAAGAGCAGACGCCAGGAGGAAAAACTCCCCCGTGGCAACGCGAGGTGAGCAGGAAGCGATGTCTCCCACAGCGGAGGGGACAGAACCCCGGGAAGGAGAAGGACTCTGTAAGGGGGGCTCGGATTCCCCAGTTTCCAGGGTGTCCGGCAAAGGAAAGACCCAAGAAACATTTTTTTTCTTTCACGAGGGTGATGTATTTCTAACCATCTGTATAAAAATAGGCAATTCTGTGGCCTTCACCCAGCAAAGCTGTGCCTTCAGTAGTGAGGACAATGGCAGGTCACAGAGGTCTCTTGTTTGGACCCTGCTCACCTGCCCAGCACATTCCATGGAACCAGACCTAGAGCCACCTTAAAGGATTCATGAGCCCTGACTCATGTGTCTTAGTGGAATGAGTGCCAGCCTGCAAACCAAAGGGTTGCTGGTTCGATTCCCAGTCAGGGCACATGCCTGGGTTGTGGGCCAGGTCTTTAGTATAGGGTGCGGGAGAGGCAACCACACATTGATGTTTCTCTTCCTCTCTTTCTCCCTCCCTTCCCCTCTCTCTAAAAATAAATACATTTTTTTTTTAAAAAGGGATTCATGATGTTCTCAGTTGGTGGAAACTCAGCAGCTCCCTCCCTCAGAATGCTACAATCATGCAACCTTTATTCATTCATTCATTACAGTCACTCATTCATTCACTCATTCATTCATTTTTTCATGCAACTTTTAAAACCAACATAACATACACGCAATAAAGCATGCTCATTTTACCCATACATTTCAATATATTTTGACAAACTTTTACAACCATATAACCAGCATGGCAATCAAGACACAGAATATGTCCCTCTCCCCAGAAAGTGCAGTACCTGTGACAGAGTCAGTGATAGGGTTGGAGGTCTTTGCATACATTGCATTTGATATGAAAGTCGAAGGTACCTTCTGATCACAGTACACAGAGGAAATATCATTCACTCTCATCACTGGTTTAAAATCATGGCAGCTGTCAGACTCACCAGGATATACTTTATTTAACAAATTTTAACGACAAACATATTAATACATCATAAATTTCTTTTAAAATATTTTGATAACGGCATTGCACAATACTAATTGGTTTCCTTTGTAATGCGATGTATCCTACTTTATGGATTTAAAATGTTATTCTGACAAGGGGCGCTTAGGGTTCATCAGGTTGCCAGAGGCGTTCATGGCCCCAGCAGAGCTACGGGCCCCTGGAGGGGGCACAAGACCCTCAGCTTTGCAGCTGGACCGAAAACCTGAAGCCTTCACCCGTGGGAACACCTTGTCAGGACGTGTTTTCTCAGAGTTCCACCCGCACTGCTGTACCTGCTAACGACCCTCAGTCTAAATCATTACATCACTCCCTCTCTCTCTCTCTCTCTCTCTCTCTCTCTCTCTCTCTCTCTCTCTCCTTTCTTCCAGGAAGGGACGGCAACAGTTCGACAGTTTCTAAGCCAACAGATTCCAACCTCAAGTTTCATCATGAAAATATCTTTCACCGCAGATAATCTCAGACCTAAAAACAAATGATTTATCTACCACAATAATGAATTCACACTCCTACACATTTCAGCTCGATGCTGGGCAATCCTATGCTGGTGCCATCCAGTGTCAGTAAATGTCTAATTTCCCTTGACATGGTGCTAACTTCCTAAATCCTGTGCACTAGAACGCAAGGCCCAGAAAACCATAATGGCAGACATGAATCTGGTGCTTATTCTGTATTAAGAACTGTTCTAAATTTCTTATTTGTATAAGGTTCACAACATTAGTGTATTTTTTGAAGCAGATACTCATTACACCCATTCCACAGATGGGAAAATCAAGGCAAATGGAGATGAAGAGACTTGCTCAAGGTGACATGGGTGCTAAGGGGCAGCACCAGGACTCAAACCCAGGCGGTTCCCCAAATCCCTGCTCCAATCCACCACCACCAGGGGATGGCGGGCTTAGGACCCTTTGCTGTCGCTGAATTAAATGGAGCAGCCTCTACTCCATCTCTACTGTATTAACTGTAATAAACACAGAGGTCGGAAAGAATCGACCTTATTTTATGACAACAGAACATCTGAACCTCCTCTACCTGGAGCTTCCCTAGTTTACGGCATTGCTGGGAAACAGCAGGTGATAGACCGACAATCAACTCTGATGGTTGTAGGTACTTCTCTTCCTAGGTCTCACCACAGCTAGTGCGCAGGCGCATGGCATTCTGAGTGTGTCTCTGACTGGGAAGTGGGGTATTCGGTCTTCTCACCATGCAGGCACTTGTCCATTTAGAACGGACATAAAGAACTCTGCAGACAGAAGGGATGAGACTTGATCTCTCCGAACCTTCATCTCCCCATCTGCAGTCAGCTGTGGCAGTCCCTTTATAGCAATGACAGATTCTGCATTTGGAGCTAGGGGGAGCCCTAGAGCCCACCCAGCCTCTCCCCTGTGCCTCTGCTAGCGTCTGCGTCTGAGCTTCGCAAAGACCCCGCCCCCGCCATGGGCAGCTGGGCTCTCTGCTCCGTGGCCCTTTGTCTCCTGGGAGCAGGTGAGTCCAACACTTCATCGGTAATTCCTGTGTGGGGGTGCAGACCCTCTCCGGCACCTCCTTTTTGCAACGGCGCCAGGCTCCCCTCTGGGCATTGTCCCCAGCCTTTGCACCCTTACCCCACAGGACCCATGGGTGCTGATATCTACATGCCCTCATTCCGCCTCGCTGGGGCCTGCGGGGACGTGACCCTGACGTGTAAACAGAACCTGAGGTACAACGCCATGTACTGGTACCGGCAGGACCCAGCACAAGGCCTGAGGCTGATTTATTACTCAACGGTGGAGAAAGATGTGCAGAAAGGAGACGTAAGTGAAGGCTACAGCGCCTCCCGAGAGCAGAAGGGGCTGTTTCCTCTCACTGTGCGCTTGGCCCACGCCAACCACACGGGCCTGTACCTGTGTTCTGGTGCTGCACCACAGCGGGGCGCAGCCACCGCCCGCCTGTGTGCAAACCACAGGCCGCCTGCAGCCCCGCTACAGCCTCTGCTGTAACTTTCCAGATGTGTCCCTCTGCTAGGTGTCCTTCCCGGACCTCTCTGCATGCTTATGTGTCAAAACATAAATCAGAAGTAAAGAAAGATCGACAGCAGAGTCAGAGAGCAGGGGATGAGGTCTGGAAAAAGAAACAAGTGATTTCAAAGACTCTGGCCGTATGTTATTTCCTACACGAGGTTATTTGTTCAAGTGCTCACCGTATTGGCATGCTGCCAAGTGCTCGTGTACACATTCGATACCAATATTTTAATAAGGAGAAGACAGCCTCATTGAACAAACGGGAGGAGCAGAGAGAAACTCATGGAAAGATACACATTAAGATGTTGACATTACTTTCCTGGAATGGGGAGGGGAGGAGGAGGAAGGGAGTAAGCAACACTAGGTCCCAAATAAAGAAGTGCACTATTTAGAATAAAGGGTGATAGAGAGAAAAATCAGGGGAAAAAACAGTAGCTGTTTAAAGACAAACACTAATAAATAAACAAAATACACCTGAAATATCAAGAAGGTGAAATATTCCACAAAGGAGTGGCTAGTTTCCAAATCATACAAACAACAGTAACAGCTGGGATCTGCATTATATTAAAAGATAATTAGATAATTAATCATCAAAAGCGGGGCCCAGTTCTGAGTTAGAGGCTGATGTTCACATCAATGACAAAAAAACACTCTTCAATAACTGCTAATAATATATTTTGTATCGGTTTACCTATCTATCTAGAGAAGGAAAGATCTGGAAAGAATATCACTGGGGTGTTTACATTGATCATCTTTGCCAGTGATATGTGGTGTTTGATTTTATCTTTATTGTCTAAGTTTCTAAAATGTAGATTTATTGTGTCTGTTGATATATATATATATATATGCATACACACAGAATGTTTTAAATGAACAGTTTTAAAATGAATAAAATATAAACTAGTTATATTTGCTGAGCTGGGATAAAAGCTTTCCTTCTGACCCCAGGAGGCGGTTTCGCCCAGTACCACGAAGCAGTGACATGACAGTTACGAGTCTGCAAAGGGATCACGTCACAGGAAGTTTGCGATGGGCGTACAAAGCCTCCTTCTTTTGCCACCTCAGTGCCACCATGGGCTGCAGGCTCCTCTGCTGCATAGCCCTTTGTCTCCTGCGAGCGGGTGAGTCTTCACCACAAAAGAAAAATCCTGTTCTGGGTTGGCCAACCCCCTTGTCGGGGTCCCTCCCGAGCGTTCTGAGCTCCTTTTCCCTCTGTTACAGGTTCTAGTGGTGCCCAAGTCACTCAGACTCCAGGATATCTGGTCAGAGGCAAAGGACAGAAAGCAAGGATGACTTGCACCCCCCAAAAAGGACACCCTGTTGTTTACTGGTATCAACAGATCCCGAAAAAAGAGTTTAAGTTTTTGATTTCCTTTCAGAACGAAGATATTATTGATCAAAATGAGTTGGTGAAAGAGCGATTCTTAGCAGATTGCCCCAAAACTTCCCCGTGCAGCCTGGAAATCCAGTCCTCTGAGCTGGGCGACTCGGCTGTGTATTTCTGCGCCAGCAGCCAGGCCACAGTGCTGGGATGTCAGCTGCTCATCGTGCACAAACGCATCCCGGACACAGCTCAGGAAGCAGCTGGCGCATTGGGCTGTGACGGAAGTCAGCTGGAGTTTGCTTGAGCTACCGTGGAATTTCACACCAGGTTAATGTGTGTGGAGCAGCATTCAAGGAATGATGAACAGACAATTCTGGGGAAAAGCAAAACAAAAACAAGAACAGTTGGGCCAGGGTCTGGAATGGCTGTCTCTCCAGCTCCCATTTTTCTTTCTCTTATTCTGTCTGCTCCCTCTTTTCTTTCCCTGTCGTCTGTCTGTCTTTTTCCCTCCAGTCTTCATGACAATGATAAGATGGTCACTAAAAGTCACAGATTCAGCTGTCACCATCCCGCCACACTGATAAAGAGCAGCCCCGTTCCTTCCAAACCTGGGTTTAAAATCCCAGGGCCAACCGCAGGCTGGTCATGACCCAGCCATGCACGGAGTCCGCACCTCTTGTCTCATATGTATTTAAAGTCACATAAATCCAACTTTATTGCGTGTACAGTTTTCTCTTGGATTTTCCACTCAGCTCCACGTGAGGGAAACACTTCATTATTTTTCTGTATGAACGTCTAGTTTGTTGCTTCTGAATGATGCACAGTGTCCCTTCACCCTCCTCCAGGGGCAACACCCAATTTCCCTCTAGTTTCTGGCCAGCATTGAAAATGCTTGTACAGATAGCTGTATGTACCCAGGACTGCAGGATTATATGCCCAGAATCAGGGTTGCTGAGTCATTGAAATGCCCTACACGCATGCTACTCTATGTATCAAAGTACCACTAGAGGGCTCTTCAGAATTGCTGTGAGTCTCAAATGCCACTTAAAAGTGGGTAAGACACCCTCTCTGTACAGCATTACGCAGTTTTCTAGATGGTTGCCAGTTCTAGCCATGTAAAAAGGTTCTCATCTTTCTCTTCCGCCCCCACCTTCTCCCAGAACACATCATTGTTAGTGTTTACCATACAGATGCAGATGACAATTTAAAAAAAATAGATAAAATCAAGAATGAGAGAGAGACAGAAAACAATGATTTTGTACTTCTGTGCTCTCACTGGGACTTCTGAATTCTGACCAGCCTGAGTGGACAGACCTCACTGAACGCCTCGGTCATGCCCTCAGCAGAGGCGTCCCCCAGAGCTCTCAGAGTCGGGCACCCCAGAACTGCCCTAACGAGGCCTCCGGGGGAATCCAGCTGATCTGCCAATAAATTAACTTCCTTTTAAGGACAAATATTTTGGCACTCTCTAAATAAAGGCAAGAAAAATAAGAGCCAAACTAGACTTCCAACATTGTGGTAGCATCCATAATTCCAATCATGCAATGAAAAGATATTAGACATGGGAAGAAATGGAAAAATACGGCCTATCAATAGGGGAAAATTGACGATAAAATCCATCCCTGAAACAATACAGATGTCGAAAATTTCAGACAAGACTTTTAAGTAGCTATTATAAAAATATGTTCAAGGATTTAGAGGAGAACATGGTCATAATTTGATCAACTCATAAAAGCGATTAATCCATAGCAATTAAGAAAAAAGGGAAAGGACATATCAGTAATAAAAATAGATATCTCTGTAGGTACAACAGACATGAAAACAATGTCAGAATATCAAAAATAAGTAGTGCCAATAAATGAAATAAAATGATTTGAAAAACACAACCTGCCAACTCATTTGCAATAACATTAGAAATGTAAACATCCACTGCAAAGGAAATTGAATTATTTATCAAAAACACCCCCTCAGAGAAAACTACAAACCCAGATTCCTTTCTGGATGAATTTTGTCAAGCATTTAAGGAAAAAAAAGCCAATTTACATAAACATTTCATTAGACCATAAAGATAAGGGAACACTTCACACGATGTGAAGCCAGCAAAATCTTGATGCCAACATCTGACAAAAATATTACAGAAAAATATCCTGTGTGATCATAGATGAAAAAACCCTTCCCAATACATGAGCAAATCAAATCCAAATGTGTATATACATATATAGTGATAGTACCTCATAACAAGTAGGTTTGTTGCAGGCCAAACAGCGGGTTTGCTTTCAAAATCAATGTATTTCATCATTTTAGCAGAATGATGAAGAATAATTATCCAACCTTTCCAACAGATGCTGGGGAAACTTTTGACAAAATCCAGTACACATTTAATATCAACACTGTCAGCAGACTGCTAATAGAAAAGCAGTCTGTCAATCCGATGGAGGGTAGCAATGAAAAATATACAGCTGATATCCTATTTAGTGGGGAGTATCGAACACTTTCCTCTCACAATTGGGAATGAAGCACGATGTTTTCTCTCACATTATAATGGAGGTCTTAACCATTGTGATAGGCCAAAAACATGATATAAAAGTCCCAAATATTGTAAAGGAAGAAGTAAAATGATCATTATTCTTAGATTACATGGTTGTTTATATGGAAAACCTTAAGGAATCAATGAACCACAAGTAGACATAATGAATGAACTTAGCAAGATCACAGGATACAAGGTCAATGGAAAAAAGTCAAGTGTTTTTGGACGAGTTGCAAACAACCAAAATATTAACTTTCAGGAAGAAATATCATATACAATGGTATCAATAAGAGGAATAAATTTAGCAAAAGATGTTCAATGTAAAACTACAAACCATGGCAAATGAAATTAATATGGAAAGATATATCATGTTTATGGGTTGAAAATTTTAATGCACCGAGATAGCAATTTTCTCAACAAATGATGTTGTAACAACTGGACAGTCACATGAAAAGAACTAAATGTTACTGGTATGTCATACCTTAAACAAAAATCAATATGAGAAGATTCTTAGAGCTAAGTGTAAAAGCAAAGACTACAAATCCCGTAGGGGAAAATACAGGGAGACATCTTTGTGAGTGGAAGGTAGGCGAACATTTCTTATGACACAGAAAGCCAACCAGCAGGAAAAAGTCACTTCGCATTTGGCTCATTTGGTTCCAGAAGGTATTTGTCACACAGACCAATGATTCACAAATGAGAGGAGGAAGCGGACCCGTAAGCCAGACTGACAGCCGCGCGACTCATATTCTCCTGGAGCAGGGAGAGCTTTGGACCCACGCACGGAGGCCGCTCTCTGCCCAGTTCCATCACCATCCAGCTTTGTGTCTCCTCCGTCCATTTCTCTGATGATAGTCTCGCTCGCCTGCTCTGGCCTAGATCTGCTCCCAGAGCGAATTCTGCTTCTCCTCTCCTCGTCCTGCATCTGCAAACTTCTGCAGGAATCCACTGCACCTGAGTCTTGATTCTCTCAACCCACGTGATCCCGAAGCATAGCAATAGTTGAGCTCCCACATCTCTCTTCCACTCAGATCACTGTCCCCAGCAGGGGGCAGCAAAACAGCGTGTTGACTTCAACAATGGCTAATTAGGGCAATGATATTTTTCCTGTTAAGGACAAATCCAAAA